CGCCCGGCGACTCGGCCGCCGTCGCGCCAGGGCCCGAAGCCCGCGCCCCTGGCGCCAGGGAACCAGCCGCTTTCCTCCCGAAAGGCCCTGCCGTCCACGTCGGCGCCGTCGGTCATCTCCGCCCCTAACGCCACCTCCGCCGGGCCGCGGGCCCCCGCAGGCAGAGCCCCCGGCGCCCCGCCTGCCGCCTGCGCCCCGCAGACGCCCCTGGAACCCACCGCGGGGGCCCTGAAGCCCGAGGTGGACCTGCTGCTCCGAGAAATTCGGCTGCTCAAAGGCCTGCTGAGCCGGGTGGTCCTGGGAATGAGGGGCCCGCAGGCTGCCCCCGAGCCCGGGACAGCACGAGGGACGGCGGCCCCCTGTGCGGAGTCCCCGGAGACGAGCGCTGCGGGGAGCTGAGCAGCGTCAGCCCCTCCGGCCAGCCCGTCCCGCCCCCTCCTCTCCGTCCCCTCCGCTCTGCTCCCCCACCCTGCGCTCAGAACCCAGGAAGGGTGGGGTTTCTGGAGCCTACCGGATACAGCCCACACAGGCCTAGGCTGGTGCCTAAGGGCACGGAGGAAACAGCCTCTTCCTTGGGGATGGGTTAGGGAGGGTTGGTAATTAAAGATAACTAACTTAATGCTAATTTTAATGAGTCCCTGTCTGCCTTTGGGAGCATGGATTACCTGCAGGGCTGGTTGCCAGGAGGTCCATGCCCTTCACCAGTGAGCTTCCCTTATTTGTATTTATATCTATCTATCTATCTATCTATCTAATCTCTATATAAAATCCCAATATGCAAACAGACCCAACAACCAGTCCTATGACATGCGCTGACCACCAGGGGCTGCATGCGAAACATGGTGGGCGTCAGAGGCAGGTGGCAGAGCACTGAACATGTGCGCATTGGCCACAGCGGATGGAGCAGGTGAGCGGGGGCACCAGACCAAGGCGGGGCGCCAGTCACTGTTATCGGGTGAGCCTCTGGTGGTTACTAAAAATTCTTTGCTCCCACGCACTGCGGTCCCACCAGGCGCTTGCACCTGCTGCCGGTGCCGGCCCTGCTCGCTCACCCGCTGCTGGTGCTGGAGCCACCACTTGCACCCACTGCTGGCACCTGGCGCAGGTCCCAAACCCTTGGCGCTGTCAGCGGGTGCAAGTGAGGCCAGCACCCTCAGCGCGTGGGGCCATCAGCGCATGGGAGCAGGGTGGTGGGAGCAGGGCTGCTGGCAGTGAGGACTGGGGGGGAGGGGGCCGCGGCGGGAGGGGCCGGGTGGGGGTGTGGAGGATGGGCCAAGACCCACCCCTGTGCCCACCGCAGCCTCACGGCCCACAGTTCCTTTCAAGGTGCACAAATTCATGCACTAGGGCCCCTAGTGTATGTGTGTTGTGTGTGTATATATATATATAAAAGGCTAATATGTTAAATGTCCCTCTGCCCACCCGCCTGGGTCACTATGATGTACACTGACAACCAGGGGGCAGACGCTCAATGCAGTAGCTGCTCAGCTGTGATGACTTGGCAGCGGCGGTTCTCGGGTGATGCGTCTCAAAACCAGAGCGGAGGGAGCCCCATTCCTCGAAGGGCCGGGCTATTCCACCTTTGGCTGTGGGCTATGTTGTTGCTGGGGCACTGTCAGCCCCAAATCTGGTTTACCTCTGGTTTACCGCATGCCTGCATTTGCATTCCACACCCTGTACAACAGCAACTTTGCAGAGTGCCCTCTCGAACTCCGGGACCCCTCGGGGGATGTGGGAGAGCCGGTTTCAGCCCGATACCCACAGGCCAGGCTGAGGAACCCCACCTGCCAGAGGGACTCGCTCACTCTGCAGACACTAGGGAGGGAGCGTGGGAGATTGGCTCCAGGGTGTGTCCAGCTGGTCTCACCCAGTACCCCCCGCCCCCCACCAGCCACCTTCTAATTAATTTCCTTTCAGTGTGCATGAATCTGTGCACTGGGTCACTAGTATATATAATTGATTTCAGAGAGGAATGGAGAGGGAGAGAAAAATAGAAACATTAATGAGAGAGAATCATTGATCGGCTGCCTCCTGCACCACCCCCTGCTGGGGATCGAGCCTGCAACCCAGGCATGTGCCCTTGATCAGAATCGAACCCTGTACCCATCAGTCCGCAGGCCAAGGCATCAGTGAGCTTCCCTTAGAACTGACAGCAACTCTGCCCAACCCCTCTTCACTTGCACTTGATATTCAGCCACAACCCGGTTTCCCATGTCTTCGGGGGCAATTAACCAGAAAAACGTCCGCATCCTTCCTCAGCTCTTCCCAGTGGTGCTCACCAGAGCAGCTGGGCGACGGGAGGCGAGTGCTCTGGGAATCACTGGGCTCCAGAGAAGGAAGCGAGGCGTGAAGGACAAGCAAGAGTCCAAGTGGGGCAGATTGTGGATGCCACCGTTTTCACGGAGACATGCAGGACCCCGGCGTGCGTGTGGGGCTGCAAATAACTGGGAGAGGTTGGAGAACGGCGCGTGCTTGTGGGGGGCGGGGTGTTTCAGGGAGAAGGTGGCAGGAGATGGTCACGGGGAGTAGAAAGGGAGCAGAACAGGGAAGTCTTGTTGGAAAGTCCTTGTAGGGTTCTGGGTAGGTACTCGGAAGCCTTCCTTCCTGGGCACCAGTGAGCCTCCTGGAGAAGGTGCTCGTTTCTAATTAGAAGCGAAGAATCAAACACTGATCTCAGCGGGTGCTCGCTTATGCCTGAGAGGTCTGTCCAGGCCCCTGCGTCCGGCTCTGAGGTTCTGGGTGTTCAGGGATTTGTGCTCTGATTCCCAGCTTCCCTGCGCAGACGCATCTCACCTCTGAGAGCCTGCTCCCAGGAGCCCTCCCGGCAGCCCCACTGCACACCTTCCTCCGGACTGTCCGCCCTGAGGCTCGGCCACCCCTCCTCTAGCATTAGCATGAAGAGGCTTAGCAGTGGAAGGGTCTCAGGAATGAAAGAATCAGTTGTCATTTTGTAAGACATCAAAAAGGTGAACCAGCCCTCAGAGGAGAGCTAGTGCATCCTTCCTGGCAGCCACCTGTGTCCAATGGGAACTGAAGGGGGCGGGGTGGACAATGAAGACTGGTGGGTGAGAATGAGTCACTCCGACCCAACGTTTCTGTGGACTGGGTGGGGGGTGGGGTGGATACTGGCTTTCGTGCCCCAAGACCCCCCTGTCTAAGCTCTCGCAGACCTCGACCTCCCAGGAAGACCTGAACTTGCTGGCCGTACTCCTCATCCACACCGAGGTTCCAAGAGGCACCTAGGAGACAGGCCAGGCGCGCGCTGGCTTGTTCCCCAGCAGCAAGGATGGCAGCAAAAGGCTGGCAGCTGGGAGGAACAGAGCTGATCACAGAACCAGACACAAGCAGCTCTGTCTCAGACCCACACCGGAGGGTAGCAGACAAGGAAGCCCGTGTCCTCCATGAGAGAGCAAGTCCCCTCTGTGTCAGCCTCATTCCCTCGCTCCGTGTTCCTCCAGCCTCAGTTTCTTTTATTTATTTATTTTAAATTTTAAAAAATCTTCATTATTACATATTACATATGTCCCCTTTTTTCCTCCATCGCCCCCTCCATCCCCCCTTCACCCCAGGCTATCACCACCCTATTGTCTGTGTCCATGGGCCATACATATATGCATACAAGGTCCTTGGTTGATAAATTTTAAATGTTTTTTAATTTTTTTTATTTTATTTTATTTTTTTAAAATATATATTTTATTGATTTTTTACAGAGAGGAAGGGAGAGAGATAGAGAGTTAGAAACATAGATGAGAGAGAAACATCGATCAGCCGCCTCCCGCACATCTCCCACTGGGGATGTGCCCGCAACCCAGGTACATGCCCTTGACCGGAATCGAACCTGGGACCCTTCAGTCCGCAGGCCGACGCTCTATCCACTGAGCCAAACCGGTTTTGGCGATGGCAGCTCCACATTTAATGTTTTGAGGAAACTCCATACTATTTTCCATAATCGCTGCACCAGTCTGCATTCCCACCAGCAGTGTACTAGGGTTCCCTTTTCTCCACATCCTCGGCAGCACCTGTCATTTGTTGATTTGTTGATGGTAACCATCTGACAGGTGTGAGGTGGTATCTCATTATTGTTTTAATTTGCATCTCTGTGATGATCAGGGACTTTGAGCCTTTTTTCATGTTTCTGGCCATCTGTAGGTCCACTTTGGAGAAGTGTCTATTTAGGTCCTTTGCCCATTTTTTAATTGGATTGTCTTCCTTTTGTTAAGTTGTATGAGTTCCTTATGTATTTTGGATATTAACTCTTTATCAGATGTATCATTGCCAAATATGTTCTCCCAAACAATGGGCTCCCTTTTTGTTTTGTTGATGGTTTCTTTTGCTGTGCAGAAGCTTTTCATTTTGATGTAGTCTCATTTGTTTATTGAAGAGACTGTCTTGACTACATTGTATACGCTTGCCTCCTTTGTCAAATATTAATTGAGCGTAATGGCTTGGGTCGATTTGTGGGGTCTCTGTTCTGTTCTATTGATCTATATGCCTGTTCTTGTGCCAGTACCAGGTTGTTTTGATTACAGTGGCTTTGTAGTATAACTTGATATCTGGTATTGTGATCCCTCCAACTTTGTTCTTCTTTCTCAAGATTGCTGCAGCTCTTTGGGGTCTTTTTTTGTTCATATAAATTTTTGGAGTATTTGCTCTAGCTCTGTGAAATATGCTGTTGGTATTTTAATAGGAATATAGGGATTGCATGGAATCTGTAGATTGCCTTGGGTAGGATGGACATTTTAATGATGTTGATTCTACCAATCCATGAACACGGTATATTCTTCCACTTGTTTATATCTTCCTGTATCTCTTTTTACAACATCTTGTAGTTTTCCAAGTACAGATCTTTTACCTCCTTGGTTAAGTTTATTCCTAAGTATCTTACTTTTTTTGTTGCAATGGTAAATGGGATTGTTTATTTTGTCTTTTTGAGATCTCATTTATTGTTGGTATAAAAAAAAGCCATAGATTTTTGGGGTGTGGATTTTGTATTCTGCTACATTGCCAAATTCATTTAATAAATCTAGTAGTTTTTTGAGGGAGTCTTTAGGGTTTTCTATGTACAATATTAGGCTGTCTGTGAATAATGAGAGTTTTACTTCCTCCTTTCCAATTTGGATGCCTTTTATTTATTTTTGTCTGATCACTGTGGCTAGGACTTCCAGTACTATCTATATAGTAGAGGCCCGGTACACGACATTCGTGCATGGGGGGGGGGGGGGGGGGCGGTCCCCTCAGCCCGGCCTATGCCCTTTAGCAGTCCGGGAGCCCTCAGGGGAAATCTGACTGATGGCTTAGGCCAGTGATGGCGAACCTTTTGAGCTCGGCATGTCAGCATTTTGAAAAACCCTAACTTAACTCTGGTGCTATGTCACATATAGAAATTTTTTGATATTTGCAACCATAGTAAAACAAAGACTTATATTTTTATATTTATTTTATATATTTAAATGCCATTTAACAAAGAAAAATCAACCAAAAAAATGAGTTTGTGTGTCACCTCTGACACACGTGTCGTAGGTTCGCCATCACTGGCTTAGGCCCACTCCCTATGGGAGCACACTGACCACAGGGGGCAGCTCCTGTATTGAGCGTCTGCCCCCTGGTGTTCAGCACATGTCATAGCAACTGGTTGTTCTGCTGATTGGTTGATTTGCATATTATGCTTTTATTATCTATACTAATAAAAGGGTAATATGCTAATTAGGACAGCTGTCTTCTGGACGTCCATCCAGACAAAGCCACAGCGGCTGTGAGGCCTGGGGCTCACGGCAGCCGTGGGCTCATGGCAGCCATGGGCTCAGGCAGCTGCGAGGCCCAGGGCTTATGGCCGCTGTGGGCTCAGGCAGCCATGAGCCCCGGCGGTGCCTTCTCCTGATCAGCCTGGTCGCCTCCCGCAGCGGGCAGGCTGGGCTGAGAGACCCTCCCCCGCCACACACAACAGTGCATGAATTTCTGTGCACCAGGCCTCTAGTACAGGATTTAAAAGCCCAGCGACCGAATGGCGGAATGACCAGAATGACTGGTCAACCAGTCACTATGATGCGCACTGACCACCAGGGGGCACGGACACTCAACGTAGGAGCTGCCCCCTGGTGGTCAGTGCACTCCCGCGGTGGGAGGGCCACTCGGCTGACCGGAGCAGTTGCTCAGAGGGTGGGTCCACAACTTCTCGGCTGACCAGGATGAGTGGCTCTCCCACAGCGGGCTAATTCCTGCAGGCCATGCCCCCGACCAGTGCATTATGGGGTGCACTGGGCCTCTAGTGTTGAACAGGAGTGGTGAAAGCAGACAACCCTGTCTTGTTCCTGTTCTTAGGGGAAATGGTTTTAGTTTTTGCCTATTGAGTATGATGTTCTGTAGGTTTGTCATATATGGCCTTTATCCTGTTGGGATATGCTCCCTCTATTCCCAGTTTGCCAAGAGTTTTTATCAAAAATGGGTGTTGGATTTTTTCGAATGCTTTTTCTGCGTCTATTGATATGAGTATGTGATTTTTGTCTTTCAGTTTGTTTATGTGATGTATCACGTTTATTGGTTTGCAGATATTGTAACAGCCTGCATCCTTGGAATAAATCCCACTTGGTCACGGTGTATGATCTTTTTAACATATTGCTGGATGCAATCTGCTAATATTTTGTTGAGGATTTTAGCATCTGTGTTCATCAGGGATATTGGCCTGTAATTCTCTTTCTTTGCAGTGTCTTTATCTGGTTTGGGAATCAGGATAATGCTGGCCTCTTAGAAAGAGCTTGAAAGTGTTCCTTCCTCTTGGATTTTCTGAAATAGTTTGAGGAGTAGAGGTGTTAGTTCTTCTTTGAACTTTTGGTAAACTCCCCTGTGAAGCCGTCCGCACCTGGGCTTTTGTTTGCTGGTAGTGTTTTGATTACTGCTATTTCCTCACTTGTTATTGGCCAATTCAAGTTTTCTGATTCTTCTTGATTCAGTTTTGGGAGATTGTATTTTACTAGGAATTTGTCCATTTCATCCAAATTGTCCAGCTTGTTGGCATGTTGTTGTTCACAGTATTTTCTACAATCCTTTGTATTTCTGTGGGGTCAGTGGTTACTTCTCCACTTTTGTTTCTGATTTTATTTATTTGGGTCCTCTCTCTTTGTTTCCTGATTAGTCTAACAGTCCATCAATCTTGTTTATTGTTTCAAAGAAGCAGCTCTTGGTTTCATTGATCTTTTGCATTTTTTTTGTCTCTATCTCATTTGTTTCTGCTCTAATCTTTATTATTTCTTTCCTTCTACTTACTCCTGGCTTTTCTTGTTCTCTTTCTAGTTCTTTAAATTGTAGGGTTAAGTAGTTTATTATTAATTATTATTATTATTATTTTTTAGGTAGGCCTGTAGTGCTATGAACTTCCCTCTCAGGACTGCTTTTGCTGGGTCCCAGATATTTTGGGTTGTTGTGTGTTCATTTTCATTTGTTTCCAGGAAATTTTTTATTTCTTTCTTGATCTCATTGGTAATCCATTCATTGTTTAATAACATGCTACTTAGCCTCCATGAGTTTGACTGTTTTGGGGTGTTTTTACTATAGTTGATTTCTAATTTCATTTCACTGTGATCTGAGAAGATGCTTGATATGATTTCAATCTTCTTGAACTTGTAGAGACTTGTTTGTCTATCTTTGAGAATGGTCCATGTGCACTTGAGAAGAAGGTATATTCTGCAGCCTTGGGGGTGAAATGTTCAATAAATGTCAGTTAAATCCATCTGATCCAGTGTGCCCTTTAGAGTCACTGTTTCCTTGTTAATTTTTTGTCTGGAAGATCTATCCAGTGAAGTCAGCGGTGTGTTAAAGTCCCCTACTATGACTCTATTGTTGTTGATCTCTCCCTTAAAGTCCTCTAGAAGTTTTAAAAATATATGTAGCTGCTCCTATACTGGTGCATATCTGTTTACCAGGGTTATATCCTCTTGTTGGATCAATCCCTTTAGTATTATGTAGTGACCTGTGTTGTCTCTTGTGATGGCCTTCATTTTGAAGTCTATTTTGTCGGATATGAGTGTTGCTACTCCAGCTTTTTTTCTTTTCCATTTGCATGGAAATATTTTTTCCATCCCTTCACTCTCATCCTGTGTGAGTCTTTTGTTCTGAGGTGGATCTCTTGTAGACAGCATATAGTTGGGTCATGTTTTTGTACCCATTCAGCTACCCTATGCCTTTTGATTGGAGCTTTTAATCCATTTACATTTAAGGTTATTATTGATAGGTACTTATTTATTGCCATTTTAATTCTGTATGCCTAAGTTTCTCTCTCTATTCCTTTATCTCATTACAGCAGTCCCCTTATTTATTATTATTATTATTATTATTATTATTATTATTATTTTAGATAAAGGGAATTTTATTAAATTGGCATAGTTGGGACCAAAGAGATAAAACGATCACTGCCAACTTATCTGCAGCCCTCCCTTTTAACAAGCTAATGAACACAACCTGAAACACAAGCTAGTCTTGCAGGTCTAAGAGACAGTGAAGGGGTTTCCTCAGAATTTAAACATATTCACACAGCCAGTCATATAAATCTAAACGTAAGCCAATCTCCTACAGGTTTTGAGATGGCACTCGCCACCTCTGTGAAAAGTTGAACACTAGGAATCAAGTCCCACCATACTGTTAGAAGGGAGGACAGTGACAGTGCTTGCTGAACCAAAATTATCATCAAAGCTCAAAAAGCTGACCCTATTCATTTAACCACATGCCAATCTTATTTAAATCAGGACTGCCCGAAAGAAATGCTCTATTAGCCATTCATGATCTGAATTCTGGTGTATGAGATCAATTTAAATATGGTACACATAAAAAAAGTCATGAGACATTTGTAATAAATAAGGCAGTGGCCAACTATTACTCATTAGTAGCTTTTTTGAGATAAGCTATCAAGTCTGCCCTCTCTGCGCTCTTCTTAATGCCAGCGAAGATCATTTTTGTTCCAGGGATGTACTTCTTGGGATTCTCCAAATACTCCATCAGTGTAGCCTCACCCCAGGTGATACCTTTGTTCTTGTTGGCATCCGTGTAAGAAAATCCAGGGGCCTGACCTGTCTTTCGCCCAAATAGACTGTGGAGATTTGGCCCAGTCTTGTGCTTGCCTCCCTTTTCCACAGTATGGCACTGGGCACACTTCTGAACAAAAATCTTCTTGCCCTTCTCAACATCACCCATTTTTAAATTGCTCGTTAGTCGCGCGCGACACGGAGATGCCCACTCGCGAGCCGGACGTCCCGCTCTCTCTATTATTATTTTTTAAATATAATTTTATTGATTTCAGAGAGGAAGGAAGAGGGAGAGAGAGTTGGAAGCATCAATGATGAGAGAATATCAGTGACTGGCTGCCTCCTGCATGCCCCTCACTGGGGGTCAAGCCCACAACCTTGGCATGTGCCCTTGACAGGAATCAAACCCAGGACCCTTCAGTCCGAAAGCTGACATTCTATCCACTGAGCCAAACCAGCTAGGGCTGCAGCAGTCTCTTTAGCATTTCTTGTAATGCTGGTTTGGTGGTGAACTCCTTTAGCATTTTGTGGGTTTTTTTTTGCCTGGGAAACTCTTTATTTCACTGTCTAGTTTGAATGATAGCCTTGCTGGATATAGTAATCTTGGTTTCAGATCCTTGCTTTCCATTACCTTGAGTACTTCATGCCATTCCCTTCTGGCCTATAGAGTTTCTGATGAGAAATCAGGTGTCAGCCTTATGGGAGCTCCTTTGTAGGTAACAGTTGCTTTTCTCTTGCTGCCTTTAAGATTCTCTCTTTGTCTTTAATTTTTGGCATTTTAATGATGATGTGTCTGGGTGTGGGCCTGTTTGGGTCCTTCTTGCTTGGGGTTCTCTGTGCCTCCTGGACGTGTGTGACATTTTCCTTCTCTAGGTTAGGGGAGTTTTCTGCCATTATTTCTTCAAACATGTTCTCTGTCCCTTTCTCCCTTTCTGCCTCTTCTGGCACACCTGTTCTGTGAATAATTTTACATTGCACGTTGTCCCACAGCTCCCTTAGTTGTCCTCCTGTTTTTTAATTGTTTTTTCTTTTTGGTTCTCTGGATGCATGATTTTTTTCTAACCATCTTGTGATTCACTGATCTGATCCTCAACTTCCCCTAATCTGCTGTGTATTTCTTCCATTGTCTTTTTTATTTGTTCTATGTCAGTGATGGTGAACCTATGACACGCGTGTCAGAGGTGACACGCAAACTCATTTTTTTGGTTGATTTTTCTTTGTTAAATGGCATTTAAATATATAAAATAAATATCAAAAATATAAGTCTTTGTTTTACTATGGTTGCAAATATCAAAAAATTTCTGTATGTGACACGGCACCAGAGTTAAGTTAGGGTTTTCAAAATGCTGACACGCCGAGCTCAAAAGGTTCGCCATCACTGGCCTATGTCATTCTTCATAGTTACCAATACTTTTCTCATTCTGTTGAGCATCTTTGTCATCATTATTCTGAACTGTATGTCTGATAAGTTTTTAATTTCCATTTCATTTATCTCTTCTTCTGGAGAATTCTGTTGTTCTTTCATTTGGGGGTTGTTTCTTTGTCTCCTCATTTTGGCTGCTTTTTGGGTTTGTGACGATGTATTACCAAGCCTCAGTTTCTTATCTAGACTTTATGGGAAGAGGGAGCACTTTGGGTTCTACATTAGGACTTTTTCCCTAGGGGATTGAATCCATCCTCTAGGATAAACCCATCCTCCCGGCTCCCTCTCATGGCACATGGAGCCCATTCTCCCTGTGCTGTGGCTGCCAGGGCCCCGTGCACACCAGCCTCATGCACACCTCTGTGCCTCATCCCGTGTGGCCCACGGGCCTCCTGCGCCCAGCTTCCTGATGTGCGGGGTGAGAGAGACACAGCAGATTCTTTCATTATTAGAGGCTTTAAGACAGGGGATGCTGAGGTGCTTACAAGCACTGAGGAGGGACCCTAAGCCCAACATAGGGGTTCAGAAATCTCTTCCTGTAGATTGATGGACTTATTGGTGTTTCTAAATGTTTCCTGTTTGAAATTGTGCTGCAATGACTGTTCTACACCCTTACGCACATAGTTGACTGTATCTGTGGGATAAACTAGAAGTTGATTTGCTGGATCAAAGGACACGAGTTTTTAAATTTTTAACGTTGTCAAATGATCCCTCAAAGATATTTACCAATGTGCAGTTCCACTAATTCTGCATGAGAGAACTTGTCTCCCCTCCCCTCCTCCGCAGAGCGCATCATCACTTTTAGTTCTTAGACCTCCTGACGCTTTCTGCACTGTTGGGTGCCCCCCCAGTGGATCTTGTTAGCATTACAACCTCGGGCGAAGCAGCCGCCCTGGTCAGTGCCTCTGCTGAAATGCTAACCCACCTTCTGAATTCCCACCTCCTAGTTTCCAGGTGACTAAGGGAAATGCACTCCCGACTACACTTCCTTATTGGACGTGGACGTTGTCCACGTGGAACTCCTGTTCTAAGCCGGATTATCCCAGCTCTTCACCAAACTCCCACGAGCCACGTGGAACTTGGGTACGGTTCTCTCCGGTCGGTGTAGTTTGTTCTGCAGTCACGACTCCTGCAAAGACCCTTGGTCTCATATAGTTGTGCCTCTCCGGCTCAGCCAGCGCCTGAGGATAAAGAGTTGGTAGCTTCCACTTTAGTCTTCTTCAGTTCAGAGGCGCAGATCTCCTTGTCCTGTCTCTCAACAGTAAGCATGTCCCTAACTCAGTTGCTCCAGCATCCAGCCCATACGCCATCCTTGTCCACAGGAGATCTGTCCTGGGAAGAGAGGTTCAGTGTGTGTCCCCCTAACCTGCCCGTCTAGTCCTTCCACGGAGAGAGCCCGCATCAGGACGAGACTAGTGCTGCCCCCTGGTGGACACCGCTGCTTCTGTACATGAGACACAATGACAAATAACATTAGTTTCAGGTGCACAATGTAACGATTCAATATTTATATATATTGTGAAGTGATCACACTAAGTCTAGTTAACATTCATCACTACACATAGTTGCGAACATTTTTTTCTCGTGATGAGAACTTTTAAGATCCACTCTCTATGGAACTTTCAAATATGCAAGACAGGATTGACAATAGTGACCACATGGTTAATATATAGTTAATAAAGCTGCTTGTTTTATAGGCCTGACAAGTCACTCCTGCAGTAACCTGCTCTGCAATATCATTTCGGGTTGGAGGCAACCTTACGGGTTTGATGGCCTGACGGCAGAGAAGCAGCGGGGCTCATCCACGTAGGCCAGTGATGGCGAACTTGTGACACGCGTGTCAGAGGTGACACGCGAACTCATTTTTTTGGTTGATTTTTCTTTGTTAAATGGCATTTAAATATATGAAATAAATATAAAAAATATGTCTTTGTTTTACTATGGTTGCAAATATCAAAAAATTTCTATATGTGACACGGCACCAGAGTTAAGTTAGGGTTTTTCAAAATGCTGACACGCCGAGCTCAAAAGGTTCGCCATCACTGGCGTAGACCCCGGTCCCCACTGAGGGACTCCTGGCACTGCAACGGGGGCTGTGGACACACGAGGCCTCTGAGCGCCACGCAGGAGCCACTGGCCTCCCAGAGGCTGCCGCTCCGCCCGCTGCTTGTGGAGTCTCTTTGGTTGGACGTCATCACTTTTGCTAGAGGCGTTGGCGCATTTGGTGGAACCGTCTCGTGTTGTGGCCTCTTGTCTGTGTCTCACGTCCCCTGACCTCCTCAGCCGGACTCCATCGGCTCCTTCGCCGTGGGAAAGGCCAGCTCAAACGCCACCTGCTCGGAGCCCTTCCCCGGCTCCTCCAGCCAGAGTGGAATGATGTTGCGTCTGCGCCCAGTGTGCTGCTTGTGCCGCCAGCTTAGCACGTGGCTCAGGTACACACCCTGGTCTACATGGTGGAAGTTTGACCTTCATCTTATTCCTGTTGTATCCCCAGCGCTGAACAAGGGCTAATGAATTGAGATGAAAATCACGGGCTGGCAGGGGTTGTGAAGAAATGTTCAGAAATGCATTGCTTTGGGGCCATACACAAGCACTTCTACCGAACACTCCAAGCGAGTGTTTTCCCCTTCCGGGGCAGTTTCCTCCTGCCACCTCAATGTCTGTCAGTGGCCAGTCCATCTGTCCTCAGGCTGGTGGCAGGGGACCGGGGCAGCACTGGTGGGAGTGAACAAAAAGCACTTCCTGGCAGAGGCGGGAGAGCGAAGGCGAGACACCTACAAGAAGCCGCGATCTGGTGGTCAGAAGGGCAGGGAACAGCTTTCTGAAGGGTTTGGCACGCTCCGTGCGCTGACCAGATGTTTATAGATTTCTGATTTTACAGTTTCAAGTCCTTCAGGGGATGCCAGGTGGCATCACTCACCTCGTCGTTTTTGGATGGAGACACTGAGGTTCAGAGGGCTCGGCCAGTTTGTACACGTCACATCCGACAGGCCAGAACCCAAGTCAAGGGCGTGCGTGACCGTCGGAGCTCTGTCTGCTCCAGCTCAGAGGATGGGCAGCAAAGAGCTCCAAGGGTGTGACCAAGGTTGGGGCGCGGAGCCCCTGGCACGCACTCCGTCCCCACTCAGCTGGCTGTCGGCCAGTTTCTCCTTGAATCAAAAAGGAACTGAAAGCACACACAACCCACAAATCCCATCCCGTTCCGTCCCGGCGCTGTTTACCAGAACGACAGCCACACGGCGCGGTGACTTGGCAAATGTTGGGCCCCGGCTGGGGTCAGGCAGGGAGATGTTGAGCCTGTTGACCAAGCTGTCCCTACACAACAGGCACGTCCTGTCCTGTCCTCCTGTCCAGCGTCGCTGGAGCTGAGGTCATCCCCCCGCGACACCTCGTCACAGGGACACAGGCTCAGGGATGTGGTTGCAGCAGCGCAGGTGTGAGTCCACCTGGCCAGGCGCAGGGGCTGCTCTGCTCCGAAGCCCCCAGCAGCGCCCCTCCCTCTGCCGCCCCGCTCAGCCTCTGCCCGCCCCGCCGCACCAGCTGCTTCTGGTGCAGGGTTCAGCCTGGGATGCCTTTCTCCCGTGAACAGGACATGCTGACAAGTTAATTCTAATTAGAACTCTGCAACATGGCCACACTTATCTGATTCTGCAGACGAAGAAACAGACTGGAGAAGTCACACAACGTTCTGGAGGCATGGGGTGGCCTGCCGGGCGGTGCCGGGCAGACTCAGCTTTGCATTCAGACCGAGGTTTTCTCCGGCTTCAGACTGTGCGCCTGGAGACAAATCGGAACTCCCCGCTCCCCA